CCCCCTTCCCCACCCCCTGGATCCGCCCTTGCTAAAGTTTTGTGTGTGTTTCCAACTCGAAAACTTGTATTGCAAACCATGCGCATGCTCTCTAAACCGACTCCTCGTACGCATGTCCGTGGTGTATTAACACAGGAACCCCACTCATTCACTTCTCCCCCTTTCACCTTGCATACCTCACAGCAACTACCTAGAACACAAACAATAACATTGCTATCTGATTAGAGAATGCCTCTTACATTCCGATCAAGTTCGTCATTCATTATTTTTGAAAGTTGCATGCATATTATTCGTATAACTGTAAAATTTGACACTACACCTTTTGCTGTTCATTAACGGCAAAGAAATATTCATTGAAGCGAAGAAGCATTGTCATTAGAGCGAACAGGCATACAATAAGGTGAACGGACTCTCAAGAGTGCGATGGAACTTTCATTAAGAAATTTAGCATTGAATTTGACAATCATGAATATGTTTGCGTGGGTTCATTAACGTTTTCGAACTTTCATTGGCGTTTTGGTGCAGACAATAAACCACAACACTTTTATGAGTATTGTTTCTATCTTATGCTTACCATTTTCAAAACCACCTTAGTATATTTTTTAATAATTTGCATTGATGCTTTACAATAACTTTTTGGGTTGCTTCATTATTTATGAAAACTTTTAGTTTTTAACAATGCGATTAATTTGTATAGATACTTTAATCGACCTTTCATTTGCTTTTGTATTTTTTGTTTATTTGTTGTCGTATTTTATGCTTCTTATGCTTTAATTTATTTGTCATCATTTAGACATCGTTTGCCATTTCAACCTTGTAAGTTTCTGATAACATATATTCATTTCTCTCCTTTAAGCATGTTGGGTCCTTCTTCGGCTTCCAAAAGCAAATTCTTGGACCTTCTAGTCCTTAGGAAAGCTTTGACTTTATCAGGTTCAACTAATTCACGCGCCTGTATAAAGAAAGTTGATAGACTAGTGGTTACTAGTTGAGACTGTGCTGGTGTGTTGAATACGACAAGTGAATAAGAATGACTAGTGGTTACTAGTTGGGATGGTGTTGGTGTGTTGAATACGACAAGTGAATAAGAATGACNTGGTGTGTTGAATACGACAAGTGAATAAGAATGACTAGTGGTTACTAGTTGGGATGGTGTTGGTGTGTTGAATACGACAAGTGAATAAGAATGACTAGTGGTTACTAGTTGGGATGGTGTTGGTGTGTTGAATACAACAAGTGAATAAGAATGACTAGCGGTTACTAGTTGGGACTGTGTTGGTGTGTTGAATACAACAAGT